GTCCAAGATTCAGCTATTATGAATTGTGCTTCTATAAACATGTGCATGCATGTGTCACTGTAATAGGATAACTCTTTCAGGGAGATACCTAAACGGAAGTTGTGACAGCTCAAGCATTTGAATGACTGGCCACAGCTGTAAGACTGTCAGATTTTCCCATCAATTACTTATTATGTAATTAATAAATAATGTCTTGTAGACAAGTAATTCTTTTGCATTAAAAGGTCTTTTAATTATAGGTGATGAACAAGATATGTTTTATAGAAATGGGGGAGTGAGGGTTAAGCTCAATTGGCTTGGGAGCCTCCTAAGAGGTTAGTAAAGTGTGTTGGGTACTATATCTGGTCCCTGGCCCCTTCTGCTCTACACTGTTCCCTTCCTCTGCTTCTCAGCCACAATGCACTAAGCAGCTCTGCACCACCATGCCTTTCCACCATGATGTTTCTTCCTTGGAGCCAGCAGTTCAAAGATTGAAATCTCTGAAAGCATGAGATAACTAAACGATTTCCTACTCTAAGTTGTGCCAGGTATTTTGTATCAGCAACAGGAAAGCTATGTAATACACATAATAATACCAAACAAGTAGTCACTGCTGTAACTATACCTAACCATGTAGTTTAGAAACCTCTGGAGCTTTTTTTTTTTTCAGGAGTGTGAAAAGGTTTGGAAATGCATGCAAGAAAAGTTCTAAAACCTTTAAGGATTGTCTGATGCATGATCCTGGTTGGAATTCCAAAGTCTACAATGCTGCCAGGAATGTGGACAGTAAAGGCCAGGTTTGATAGGTTTCAACTGGGAACAAGGACTCCACTGGCCATTTGATAGAGGCCATGTATGTTACACTCAGCCAAAAAAAAGTCCATATTTTGCCCATGTCCTGAGACTTTGTGGGAGACTGAGATTAAGGGCAGTGGCCTTATTGATCTGGAAGAGGCAAGTTCAAGGCAACCCAACATTCAGACTGTGAGAGGGGTACTGTTGGCAGCTTTTAGCCAGCTTTATAGTGAGAATCTGAGATAAAAAGCAAAGCAAGAAAAATTAAACAACTTAAATTTGGTACCAAAGGAATCATATGAAGTCAGGGCTAAAGTAGATGTGTGTGCTGAAGAGATAAGCATCATTAAAAGGAAATCAAGTACTCTGGACAAGAAAGATGCCTTGAGGGCATCTCAGAAATCAGCAAGACTCCATGGATTGCAGGATCAAGGTTTTAAAATTTTAAGCCTTTCAATTAAGAAGTGTGTCCCTGGGACCCCTGCTCAAGAAAAGCCTAGGAAAGTGATTCTCCAAGATTCATTTCCCTGTGCCCAATCATTCAGGTATTCAGAAGCTGCCGCAGCCATGGTCCAATGAGGCCTGACTACTGCTTGAGCTGGCAGCACACCCTGACATCATCCACATGATGCTGGTGTTAGAGGCATGTGGAATGAAACAGCTGTGGGGTTATAGATACTTCCACCTAGATTTCAGTGAACAGCCTGAGAGGCCAGGCAATGTGCTCCTGAAAGGTTGGTACATCAAGCTGTGGAAATGAAGCCAAAAGTACAGTGGAGACACAAGCAAATTGGATACATTTGCTGAGGAAAGCCATAAAAAACAAGTGCAACCAGCCTAAAAGAGAGGCCATGCGTCTTGCACCATTAAGGCCATCATCAGCTTGGTGGCCCAAGCCCTCTGGAACTCCCATCTCAACAATATATCCCCTTGATTGCCAGATACAGAGCTATAGGACTCACTGTTTGGCCTTGTAAGTTTCAGTCTTGATTTGGTCCTATTCCTTTCTGACCCCTGTTTCTCCCTTTTGGGGATAGGGATGTTTACTTTGTGCCATTGTACATGGGGAATATGTAACTTACTTCTTGTATTTTCCAGAAATTTAGAGCTAAGAATTTGCCTTGAGTCTCAGAGGGGATTTGGAATTTGCCTTTTGAACAATGCTGAAACTGTTGAGACTTTGGAAGAAGAGATTACTGTATTTTCAGCTGTGTATAAGCCAGTTATGTTAGGCAGAATTATTAACTGGTTACTGTATTTACTTGAGGATTAAATATGGTTTAAGGAGATTTATTTGGGTGTTGCATTTACGGGGGAGGGAGATGTGATGATTAAGCTTAATTGTAAATTTGATTGGTGCCACTTAAAGGATTAGTAAAGCACACTCATGTATGTGTCTGGGTGGGTCATGGAGGTGTCACCTTGGGTAATACCTCTGGTCCCTGGCCTCTTCCTCTCTAGTATTGTTCTCTGGGTCTCCTTCCCAGCCACGGTGAACTGAGTGGCTTTGCTCCACCATGCCCTTCCACCGTCATGTTTTTCCTTGGAGCCAGCAGACCTGCTGAAACCGTGAGTCACATAAACCATTTCCCCTTTACACTGTGTGTGGCAGGTATTTGGTCCCAACAACAACAAAACTGTCTAACACAGTGAGGATTTTACTATAGTTTTATTTTCCAGAAAAAACAATGAATAATAATTTTCAGTGCATTTCCTCAAACTTTATCTCATGTCCCAAGGGAGAAAAAGTCAATTCACCTGGACTCTTGGAAATCACAAATTTCCCACTCTAAATCCTTCTTTTATACATACCTCGATCTTTGCAAACACTTCCATGATACATATAACCACTGCAGAGAAATTATTCATGTACTTACATCTCTCCTCTATTCACTAAAATTGTTACAAATAAAATGTCTGTAGGTCTTCAGTAGGTAACAAATGAATCATGTGGTTGCCAAATATAAATCTATTCTTCACTTCTACAAAGATATACTGTTGTCCTTCCCTTCTTCAATCATATGTTCTGCCTTCCTCCTACCTTTCTTTTTAGCAGTTTTGACAGAATATAAAAGCAAGAAAATAACCTTCATTTTCCTCTTAACTCTACTTAAAGAAAAAAGTTCAAGCTCAATAACAATGTAAGTGGCATAAAATTTAGTGTCAAGAATTAAAAGGAAAAACGAAGGCATCCTACCTACATTAAGGGAATAATAACAGTATTATTCACATCTAAGCTATGGTATCTATGACTGTCTTCTGGAAAGATTACTAGGTTTCCAGTTTTTTAAGAGGACCTGGAAAACTGGGTTTTAATATGAAATTTCCCAATTTTTAATTTTGACAACTCATTCAAAAAATTTTAAAGAAAATGAGTAAGTCAAATAAAACAAATCCGACCGCATAATTCTTTCAGTCCCAGAAAACTACCAATTTTCAACTTCTGGTCTAAGCTCTAGAATATCATCACCTTTACAGTACAAGCCTCATGCTCATTCTACCTAGAAAGGAACCTACAATTTAGCTGAATTCATAAGAAATACTGGCAACAATGGACGGACCTTGCAGGCAAACTAGAAATTATATTTTTATTTGTACACAGGCCACAATCTCTTTCCACCTCCATTTACCCACCTATAATGCTAACAAAATTACACAATTACATCTCTTCTAATTTTAATTATCTACAAACATAAATAAAAATATTTAACACCATATCCTATGAACTCATCTACTCATTTCTTTTTACTCTTGTGAATCTGTCCTTAATTATATCATCCCTTCTTTAACTGCCTCTCCATTTTTCTCCTTCTAATAAAAATAACTTCATAGAATGGTTCTCTTGTTTTGTGTTCATCTTTTCTTCTCCACCACAATGTCTCAGGTTTGAAAAACACATAACCAGGTTACACCAACCATGGAGAAATTTCAAATTATTAATAACATCTCAATTCTGTTTAAGGAATAATCCAAAAAATCATAGTGTACAAAAAAGGTTACACTGTTAACAGAAATAAATTTCGAAAGTTAAAATTACCAAGAAAAGGTTGAGGCATGAACTATGAAGTATGGAACTTACCAAGTGACATTGTCCAGTATTTTAACATTTTAGAGAACAGTATGAATGGGAAAAATAAAAATTTGAGGGCAACTCATTCAGACCCCTCCAGTCTCTCAAAAGTTATTCCTATTACCCATTCTTATTTCCCATTCCATTTCCCAATAAATTTTTGTGCTCTTAAAAAAATTTTGATAAAAGCCCAATTTAAATGATCCTGCTAAAAAGCCAAAAATTATACCACAACAATGGCCTTTTTGTGTATTCTGAAACTTAGCAGTTTACTTTTTTCAGATCATTTTCTTTATTAGTACATGATCATAGTAGCTAATCTTCACATTCTTTGTGGGGAACTGGCACAGTTAAATAACACATCTTAATTCCTGTTTTATCCTCTTTCCTGCCCCTTCCTCCTCACTCCATCCATCACCTGATTCCCCTCGTTTTAAAGGGGTACATGTTTGTAGTACATGTTTCTAATCCTTGTGTGGAGTTGTACATGTACGTAACACACCTTCCTTTATTTATCCCCTTTCCCTTCCTTCCTTCTATTTATTTATCTGTACTAAAAATCCTATTTAAGTTGACTACTATAGTAAGAAGGCAAAGTTTAATGGGGTTTATGCTTACATTCTTATTTCATTAAATAAAAACAAACTGTTCAATAAGAAGAAAAGGTGAGAAATTCAAGCATAAGATTCAAGATAGTTACATAGTGTGTTAAATTTTTTTGAAATCGTTGATAGCAAACCACATGCTTATTTAAAGATTCTCAGGCACCACTTTCCAAGCAATGTGTGTGTGTGTGTGTGTGTGTGTGTGTGTATATATATATATATACATGCACACATGTCTTGAATTCTTCACCTTTTCTTCTTATTGAACAGTTTTTGTTTTCATTCATTTAATGAAAACCCACACAACTTTATAAAGTTAACAGATGTCCATAAAAACAGCTAAAATGAAAAATTATCTTAAATGTATGGTAAACAGGAAAGCAAACTGTTACATTAAATACCCAACATTCATTTATAACCTTCAACTTTATCAAAAATATAAAGCAAACCAATTTGTTAACATGAAAATGGGGAAAAAAAGAAAAATTCAATGCCAGTTCCAAGGACAAGCTAAAGATGGAAAACATTCAAAGTCCCATTTCAGAGCATACCTGTGGGCATCAGTTGGTGACAGCACCAAAGTGTTATCTTCTCCAGGAGAAAGTTTCCACGATTCACTTAATTTGTGTTCACTTGTCCCCAGCTCACCCATTACCCAGTCGGGTAATCGCTCTGGACTTGAACCTTTCACACGTGCTGGATTTGGCTCATCAAAATAGATGGACTGATTTTTAAAAATTGGAAAAATTATTTATTCTTTCAAAATGTACTGTAAACAAACACTTAAAATTTCCATCAAGTTTCAAGTTTGATAACAGCGCAAGTACTCAGTTTAAATTTAATTACATCCAAATACATAAAAAATGCATCATTCAACACATGACAACTTATGAAATATTTTAAAAATGGATAACATTTATACTTTAGTTATGATCTATTGTCTAAGAAATCTGATAATGAAATTACATAACAGATAAATTTGACATTTGTGTAACAAAAGCAGTATTAACTTTATGAACAGTTAAGTGGAAAGTTTTTAAAAATCATATGCTACCCTATTTTTTTCTGTGACTATTAACGACTTTACATCACACACACACACAAATCAGTAGACAAAGAAACCACAATCAACATGAATCAGAAATTAAAATTAGGACTCCCTTGATGAAGTGGGAACAACAGAGAGAGAGACCTGGGATTTAGTTTTTGCCATACTATTAACTGGGTGGAATACCCAAGACAGATCTCTAGGCTTTCTTATTATTATTTGTAAAATATAGTCCTTCCCTATAACTATAAAGCTGACTATGTTTCATAAAATTTTCTACATTAATCATTGAGAGTGAGATCAGCCCATTTATTTCTCTTCAAATTAACCAGGATGCAGGACACAATTCTGAAGGAAACTACAAAGACTGGACACTCGCATAACCATTCTTCCAAGCCTACAAAGAAAATTTTCATGGGCTCTTTTCTAGGGAGGGGTGATCCATGACTTTCTATCCCAAATCAGAAATGCATAGCAATTTCTTAAGTGAGATACAGTATCATCCATTCCCCAGTTTCATTTGTCATGGTTTTAGTTATCTGCAGTCAAGTGTGGCCCAAAAATATTAAATGGAAAACTCAAAAAATAAACAAGTTTTAACTGCATTTAACTGACTAGTGTGGGGGCTGGGGATTTAGCTCAGTGGCACAGCGCTTGCCTGGCAAGTGCAAGGTCGTGAGTTCAATTCCCAGTACCAGAAAAATAAATAAATAAAGTAAAATAATGGATTAGTGTGATGAAATCTTGTTCCATCTATTCCACTGTGGTCCACCAAGTGCACTGACACTCTATACTTCTTCCCACCCACTACTTAGTAGCTGTCAACTACAAGTCTGTACATATAGTATAAAAGATTTGTTACCATTCACTGGGGGAAATGTCTTGGTTAAAGGAGGGCTACACGGGAAATACTATAGTCACTGCAATGTCTAATCCAACAGCAAGTTAAATACCATGTTATCCCAAACAACTACTAATCTTAAGCGAAATGTATGGCTCTACTTTAATATAAAATGAACAATAGCATTACAACTTCTGGCTTTCTCCCACTAACAGCAGGAGTTACCCTCTAGCATGCACCATGCCATGTGACTAAATTTTGCTTTACAGTAAACTGATGAGATACAGAAAAACCATTACAATACATTACATAACAATTTTGCAGTTCATAAAAAAAGTATACAATAGCAAATGCCAATATCTAGTACTCCAGTCATATTTCTCAAGTATTCAAATCCCACACAAACCAAGGTTCGTTTCAGGTTTACAAGGAACATGTTAGTGACAACCTATCAGTCAAGCATACAACTGCCTTGTAGCAAAGCTGATCATAATAATGAAATTAAACGGAGTATAGAAAAATCACTTTTACACTCCAATTTACTACTGTCATTACAGTAAAAAGAAACTCAGAAAAATCATTCAATGTAACCTCTCATAAATTATAAAATAGTTCACATGACAGAGTTCAATAAACTAGAATTTAATGATACATAAAATGTTACTATTATAACCCATTCAAATGAAATTAAAGCTCAAAATCAAAATTTTCTTTTGTAGAAATAATACAGAAAACAACTGAATAAACCAGTAAAGATATTCCTTTTATAGGCTAATGCCTGAAAGTAGAAAAACTGAATCAGAGAGAAAAAAAATCAGCATTAACTAATGTGCTCTCTAGCACATACAAATCAATACTATCATCACTCCCTACAGGAATGATACGTTAACTTCACCTGTGAAGAAATGAAACTCAGACACTCGTAGTCAGGGACACCTACCATGTATGAAGGCAACGTCTTCAGTGTCCCTGGCTCAGGACGATGTGTAAAAGGGCCTTCAAGCACGCCCCGCTTAAGCATATGCAGTAAGAGTTTCGCGTACAGGTTCCGATTCTTCCTGCCCGTTATTCCTGAACCTGTTCCTGAAGGCTCACATAGCTTTCTAATCCAAAGAGCACACCTCTGTCGTTCTATAAATGCAGAAGAACTATTAGAAATTTGATTTTTCAGAGAATAAAATATTTAAATACAAAGACTTAGAGTAATATCTGCCTTAGTAGAGAACAGGGATAAGCAAATTTTTTTGTAAATACTTCAGGCTGGGCAGGCCGTGTGATCTATGCTGTGACTACTCTACTCAACCACTGCACCAGGAAAGCAGTCATTAGCCACAAGTCAACAAATGGCATGGCTGTGTCCCAATAAAACTTCACAGAAACAGTTCTGGGCTGGAGCTGGCCCATGGACCACAGCCACCTAGAGCAGAATTTAAGTTTCTTAGTTAACTGGCAGTTGGGCAAGAGAAAGGCCAAAAATAAATATATTTTAACGAAAATAAAATCTTTGGATAACTATCAAATAAATTTCTGACGTAAAATTTCACTATAATTTTGCACCTGTACAATAACTTAACATATACTGAGAAATCCTTCTATATTTCTAACTATACAAGCACAGAGCTAAACTGCAACCTTTGAATTATCAAACATTTTATACTTACTCCAAGATTAAGTTCAAATGCTTTATTTATTAAAGCCAACAATTTCCAGGAATTGGTAGCTGATTTATTTAGGGTTTTCCTTTAACATTTCTAAAAATAATTCTGTGCTATTTACATGTAACTTCATAAAATAATTATCCTTTTAAAAATTACCTAAAAATATATCACCATTTAATCCACACATAATGATCCACTGACTATATTATCCTGTCATGACACAGAATTGTTTTAGCTCTCATGCTAACTACTCTGACATTAACTTTTTATTAGTCGAACTCAATTTGAGGATTGTACATCTGACGCAAATTATAATGCTGTAATCTGTTGGCTTATAAAAGTCATATTCATTTACAAAAATCACTAAAGCTGGACTAATCACTTAGCAAATCTTACTACATGTATGAGAGCTATGCCTTTAAAGAATGTTGGGATTTCTTGCTTTAAAACTTATGTGATCATAAAACAAACTTCATTAAATAATGGATATACTTTTTTACAAAAAGAAAACACAAAAGTAAAACTAATGAACTTAAGCAGTTTTTCAAACTGTGCTTTCTACACGTCCTATAGCAAACTAAAATCTATATAATAATCTAATACCCAGAACTTAGTATCACTTGGCTAATGAAAAGAATTAAATTCTGGACTTAAAATGATGGAAAAAACACTGTTGAAAGTAGAATTTAGCTATAAAAATAGTAACATAAATATCTAGTTCTTGAATGGGATGTGGGTTCCCACATGCTTGTTACAAACTAACAAAATAGGCTCACGAATATTCCAATACTAAAAATATGTTATAACCAAAAGTTATAATTAATCAATTGTGCATATTTAAAATCTGTTTTAAAAGGAAGATAACATATGAAGATTGTTTGATTTGAAATACATTTATAATAGGAAATTTTAATACAAATGTTTCCTAATTAGACCTAAGACAAAAAAGAATAGTGAATATCAGAAGAGGATACAGTACTCTGTAGAAGCATCATTCAAATACTCATGAATAAGCAAGCCATGGGACATGAAATGCTCACTTAAAGAATAGCAGCAAAAGGAAAGAGTAAGGTCCAATATGGTAAGAGAAGAACCAGAGGAAGAGAATTCAAGAGAAGGCAAGTCCAAGCTACCCTGGAGTTGCAAGTTCTAGAAAAATGAGTGACCACAGAATGAGCAATTCCTATGCCACATTCCCTTCTCCCCCACACAGCTCCCTTCTTCCTCAAAATAAATATGTAACACTGGGTCAGTCCCTTGCTGTACAGTCTACTCAGAGATCTCAGGAACAGAGAACTTGGAAAAGGTAAAAAGCGTAGTTTCCTTGGCCCAACTCCAAATGCGCTACTCAGTAACCAAGCCATATATATCTACCTATCTTAGCCAGCCACATACCTACTGCAATTTAGAGACTCTTCCTGATACCCAAAATTCTCTCCAATTGCTCTCTGATGCCTTAAATTATCAGAAAATTCTCTGCCTTGAGACAAAGACTCTCACTCCAACATTAGAACTAACAGGTCAGGACTTAGAGATGCAATATAAACAAAAAACTCATTCACATTTGATTTATTCAATCACTATTCATAACAGATCAATAGATTCTTTCTGGCTTTGATAAAGAAAAGGGTCAGAGAGTAGGTGAACAGTAGTCTCCTAAAGGAGAATTTCCACAGAAAAAGGGAAAAATGGGGTAGCTAACCTTAAAGGAAGGTCCATGTGCTATAAACTCCTGGCATTTGAGAGGCGGTACCCCAATAAGATCTCTCTACAGTTGAGAGGACTTATCACTAATGTTTTGTTTTGTTTTTTTGCCTTGAGAAGCTCAAAGCAAAGAATCCTATGCCAATGGCAAAAAAATGAAAACTACTACTAAAATATTTCAGTTTTCTTTCCATCTTGACAGTTCACTGGATTAAATATTTTAAAAGTAACCTTAAAAACCAAGTTTTCAAGTACAATCTTACCTGACCTATGGGGCAATTTTAGAACAAAGGGCTTCATATCTACCACAAAGTGATCAAATTCTGCATCCAGCCTTTCCCATTTTTCTTCTTCACTTTCCATTTCCAATCTACAAAAGATACAAAATTAAATATGAACGATCTGTATGATGACAATTATAAAACTCTAATGAAAGAGATCAAAAAAATCACATCAATTAATAAATACCAATTCTCCACAATTGACCTCCAATTTAATGAATTTAAGCAAAATCCAGAAGTATCCTTTGAAGGCTGATTCTGAAATTTATTTGTAAAGGTAAAGGAACCAGAGTAGCTGAAAAAAATTTGAAAAAGAATAAATTTAGAGGACTCACAGTACTTGATTTTCAGATGTACCATAAAGCTACAGTAGTGAAGGCAAAGTGGCTTTATGATGAAAAGATACACACAAAGATCAACAGAACACACCACAGAGTCCAGAAATGGGTCAATACACAGACATCTGATTTTCAATGAAAGTATAATTCACAGAGAAATGACTTTTTACAATACAGGCAACACATGTAAAAAAAAAAAATTAAACCTCAACCTAAACTTCATACTATATATAAATACTCCAAGTGAATAATGAGCCTCAGTGAAAATGTAAAAGTATAAAAATTTTACAAGAAAATACAGGGGAAAAAAACTTCTATGCTTTATGACCTTGATTAAGGCAAAGAGTTTCTATATGCAACACTAGAAGTACCATCCATGAAAGAAAAAACTGATGTACACTGTCAGACTTTACCCAAAAGAAAAAGATATTTTGATCTACTAAAACGGACTTTGTTAAGGGATTGAGAAGATAAACAACAGATTGAGGGGAAATATTTATAAATTTTACATCTTGCGTCAAGAAAACATGAAAAACTCTTAAAATTTAACCGCACTTGCTATCCCCTTTGTTCTCTACCCAAGAGGCTGCTGGGGAAACAGGCCATTGTCTTGGAGTCAGGTAACTTCTGATGTTGCCTGAACCCTCAGAAATCTTTTTCTATCTCCTGCTCCACAAAGCAGCTTTTATTTTTTTTTTTTAAATTTTTTTTTTATTTTAAGGATAAAAGGAGGGAAACATTAACAGACATACAACATTTTACAACATATCACAAGCACAATA